GTGGATCCCTGTGTATATAGATGATTTTAAAGCGAGCTTGAGATTTCCACTATCAGGAATGATTTTTAAGGCAAAAACCCATGTTAAGCCCCTCAACTTTTTTGACAGCTAGTGATAAGCCCCTGAACTAAAAAGGTGGCAGATAAGCCCTCGAACCCCATGCAAGGAGCAAATTAGCCCTCCACTAACTGAGCTCTGTCATGCCGTTAGTGTATGGCTTGAGTGGCATTTGACATCCAACGTGGCTCCAACGTGGCTTCAACGTGGCTTATGTGGGTCAATTAAATACAAATCCATCGACCCCTCAAATTCCCGAAGGATTTGGGGATTTAGGGTTCTTCAAATTTCTCTCAATTCTCATACCATTCTCTTCCACCGATCTCTTCTAATTCTCTGATTCTCGATTCTCTGATTCTCCTTCTCAATGGACCCATCCATAACATTGAGATACCCAAAAGATTTGGGATTTTAGGGTTCTGAAAATTTCTCTCAAATCTCTTACCATTCTCTGCCTCCGATCTCTTCTAGTTCTCCATTTCTCTATTTCTCTGGTTCTTTTTCTCAATCGTGAAGATGCCTCGATCTCAGTCCTCACAAGCCTAATCCTTTGCCTCTACACCGAAAAGCTCTACACCCAAAAGCTTTGCAAACAAAAAATCTACACCCAAAAAGTCGTTCGGGAGTTGCTTGGTGGCGACAGGGTTCTTTAAACTAGAATACAAGTATGAAGGTAGGACACGGTATTGTAATTGTGGCACTGTTTCTCTAAGAATCACTGCATGGACTGAATTAAATGTAGAAGGAGATTTTATGGTTGCCGATATTATGGGGTAAGTTAAGGGAAATTTTAATGTTTTTAGTTAATTGTATGTTTTTTCTTGTAATTTTAATGGATTGAATCAAATTCTAATGTTTGGGGAACGATGCTTTTTTTTTTTTTTCCAATTGCTGTGTTTTTCAGCAAGAGGAAGTGGAAACTTGTAATGCATTTGAGTGGCATGATGCTAAGATTGTGGGAAGAACACATGATGTTATTTGGCACCTAAAATTGGAATATGAAAGTTTGCAATCTGATTTTGATGAGCTTAAAGAACGCCAAAATGGTGGAAATGATGACATTGCCAAAGCTTTTGAGAAGCTAACTACGAGGGTGATATCCATTGAGTCTGCCATTGAACAGATGAATAAATTTCAAAGGAAATTCTTTGTTATGCTTTTGGGTTTGGTGGTTTTGTTTTTGTTTAGTAAATTGTGAATTGGCAGTAACTGCAGGAATATGGCATCTATTAGGTCGTTTTTGATCTTTTTTTCTGGCCAACTAGAAAATGGCTGTGCTTGTATGATGGCCAAGAAGATAATGGCTATTTTTTGTCTTAGATAATGCCATAAGTCTTTTGTCTTAGATAATGCCATAAGTCCTGCCTAATGTATATCTATCAAGTTAAAGGAAATGAAAATCTAACTTTCATAGCAATCGGTGAGTTCCAAAGTGTACTTGATTAGTAACCAAAAAACATACAAATTCTAAGCTATCATCTACTGTGACTTAAATCCAAAGTTTACTACTTTGGCAACCAAAAAATACTGTTGAATTGCAATGACATGAGGAAGCTTAAGTCTCTTTCGGATGAAAATCAAAACCCTGTAGATTGGAAAGGGCTTGACTTTTTTCTGTTTTTTTTGTAAGTTTCTAGCTAGCATCTATAGTAACTAAATTCCAAAGTCTACTGCTGGTAACCAAAAAAATACACGTTTCCAGCCAACATCTACAGTTACTCCAGTGACTTAAATCCAAAGTTTACTGCTTTGGCAACCAAAAAAATACAAGTTTCCAGCCAGCATCTATAGTAACTGAATTCCAAAGTCTACTGTTGGTAACCAAAAAAAAAAAAAAGTTTCTAGGCAGCATCTACAGTAACTAAATTC